GCTAACCTTGCTCGAGGCGACTTCTGGCGTGGAGGACAGGAAGGCGGGTGGGGAGGCGGTTATTTCTTGGAGGGAGAATTCCCCTCCCTACAGGAAGCCCCGAACACCTGTCACGGGAGGGAAAATGGCCGCGGATCCTGTTCGTCACCTGATCCGGTGTTCGCGAACGGAAGCAAACTTTTGCGAATGGTGCTGTTCGTGAACCGAATTGGTTGTGAACAGAAGCGTTCGTGACCCGAGGTACCACTGTACTTCTAACAAAGTTTCATTGAATATATTGGAAAAATTCAACTGCATATTTTAATGCCTGTTGAATTTGATTATTAAGAAGCTTGAACTTGGATTTATTGGTTATGTTGTTGTTAAAACCTCTTGCTGGAATGTTGCATTTCCACATTTTAATCCTCATCTTGTGTCTAGAGCTGCAGTTTCCAAGCTATTCCAAACAGGATATTTTACTACTTAATAAACAGAACTGTAAGTGACTTTGCTCTGGTGCCGCAGAGCATCCAGACACACAGTTTAGGAACTGCTAGGAGTGCCATGGAAAAATTACTGAGACACTAAGGGTACCATGAACCAAGGAGGCTTGGGAGCCCCTGGTCTAGAGGGAATGGGACTTGAGAATCTACTTAAATCTGTTGACTGCTGCACCATTGCCCTGATACCAGTATTTAGGTTTAGATTTTGCTATGTTCCTTGAATTGCTGCTTGTTATGCACCTCTCCCATCTACCCTGCAGACTTTGCAAGAGGAGAAGGAACGGAAATCTGAATGCCTTCCTCCAGAGCCACATCCTGATGATCCTGAAAGCGTTAAGATCATCTTCAAGATGCCCAATGACTCCAGGGTGGAGAGGCGGTTTCACTTTACACAGTCTCTAACTGTAAGAAACGAGGGGGGGGGATCCTAATCTTATGGGTGATGAATGTTTTTGTATGACTGACCTTCAAAGATTTGAATCCTCAAGCTGCCACACCAGCAAGCTATTAAGACATGGAACAGCAGTGTGGAAATTGTGGAGCTCAGATGAAGTGTGAAGCAAAGCAGAATGCCGTTCTTAATCTTTTTTTATAGTGCTTCTGATCATACAGTTCTTATCTGACCTAGAATTCTGGCAAATAGGTTAAGCTGAGAAGAGATACTTATTAAGGATTTAGACCTCAGTTTCCCACATGGACATCCAGTGTTTATCCCATTGTATCATCCAGGCCCCTAAGGAAGCAAATGGATTGGATATGGAATATCTTTTCATGCCACCCCTGTGCTGTACAATTATTTGGAGGAACTTTTAGGGGATGGTAGAAAGAAGGAAGAATTGCCCCCCCCCCAAAAAAAAATCAGCTTCCCCTTTTCTCCAGCAGGAGCAACTTGTTAGTGAAGTTTTGTTCACTGAAAGTTTGGATCCAAGCCATTAGATTTTTTGTTAAACCAGGGAATGGTTTACTGCTCATACAAGTGTTTTATTTAACAAAGAATGTGGTTTCTTGGAGGTCTCTATCTTGACATTTAACGTTTCCTACTCATTGCAAACTAGCTGTCTTTGGTGGTACTGTTGTAATATGAGCATCTGTTCGTTATTATACTTCTTCAAGACAAATCCCTTGACCAACATTTGTGTATAACTTCCCCAGGTGATCCATGATTTCCTATTCTCTTTGAAAGAGAGCCCGGAAAAGTTCCAGATTGAGGCCAATTTCCCCCGCCGTGTCCTGCCCTGCCTTCCCACAGAGGAGTGGCCTAATCCACCCACGCTGCAAGAAGCTGGACTCAGCCACACGGAAGTCCTTTTTGTGCAAGACCTTACGGACGATTGACATTTATCCAAAATACAGAGATGGAAAGAGAAATTCCTATTATAATACAATATTTTTTTTAAAGACTGCTGCATACAAATGAGGGATCAGAGACTATATGGCCTGGCCAGCCACGTCATGTGTCTGCACTGGCAGGAGAAGCTGCACACTCGCACACACTCAACCCCTTTTACATTCAGAGGGCAGACAGGAAGAGCCACAATTGGCGTCCCAAGAGAGGGTCAGAAATGCAGCTTTTGGTAAATGCTGCTTTTATTGGAAATAATTTACGCCATTATTTTGACATTAGAAAATTTGACGTTCTGCTGCTTTTGACAGCTAAAGAACCATACCTGTGAGCCAGGTTGAGATCTGCCCCTGTTGGGGAGAGACAGATAGGTTATTTTCTTCCAGCTTCTCACTCTGTAAAAATACTTTAAATATATCTTTTGCTTTGTAATGACCAAAGGAGAATGGGTTAACAATGATTTTTTTTTTCTAAATAAGGAGCTGTTGATATTCTTAACAACAGAGGTTTTTCTTCTCCAGGGTTGTTAGCTGCATAGTGTAATAAACTCTGCCTCTAGTGTGCCTGTGCTAACACCTGTCAGTGTCTTACTGCCTCTTCAATACCTAGCCCAAATGTACCGGTCTGAAATAATGGCTTGCCCCAACCTGTGCAGACATACAATCATAGTAGAGCATCATTCTGGATTTGACATTGTTTTTGACTTCACTGCAGCCTGTTATGCTTGCATTCACTGCATTCGAGATGAGCCTTTTTCTGTACTAATATAGGATGTTTCCAATATAATCTCATGAATCTGCAGTAGTGACTGAAAAGAAAAGAGAAATCAGCATCGAAGTGTGGACTCTCATAATCTTTGCTGAGCCAGGTGAGTAGTAAGGTCATTTGTCAATATTGATAGGTATTACAGCCACCTGAAAGGCTGCAGGTGTGATGAGCTGAATGTTGTGATTGGTGTCTCTGGATTCTAGAGGACTTTACAGCTCACGCGGACAGCTCTTTTAAATAAGATTATAGCCATAAAGTTGGATCAAGACTTTCTTCCCCATGAAAGGAACTAGGGTCTAGGAGAGGCTTCCCAGCAGAGGAGGGGAGCTGGATAACAAGTTTCTCCAGATTCTCTTGCAGTTCCCAACAGTGTGAGATTCAGGGAGAAAAGGGCAATCAGATCAACTTTTGCCTCCTCTACCAGAGGATCTCTTCTGAATGCAAGTGTGGATTCAGCTCTACTAAGGGAAGGGAGGTTAAGTCTATTCTGTCTTACAATTTGGGTTCATGTGATCAGGAAACCCTTTTCTCTTGTTTTTTAGCAAACAATGCAATTTATATAAATTAGAATCTTTTTAGGCTTCTAAAAATTAAAAGCACAAACCGTGCACATAAAACCCACTAGGTACTTGTATCCCTTCTTGAGACTGAGAAACCTTCAGCCCTCTTGCTTCTATGTACTTGCAAATAATATTGCTTCCTGCAAGTGGTAGCATTGGAATCTGGCAAGAACTCACACAGTACAGTATTACTTTTAATTTGCTAGACTTGGCTTTCCGTCTCTGTTCTGTTTGATTTGATCAGAAGCAGAAGTACACTAGCTTTCCCCTATGTCTCATCAACGTTTTAGGGAAAAAGCAGTTAAATAACTGAGTTAAAAGGAAAACTGTGAAGTAGGAACTTGATCTCTGGATGTGTGTACATGTGTGTAGTGAGTCTGGGTGACCTTATTGATGGTATATGTGTACATGTACTAAAGCGTATCTTATATACATTTTCCTCCATATGTATTAAAAGATCTGATGATAGTCACAGGCTAAATGGTGATCAAACTACTGCCAAAAATTGAAAGCATCACATTCTTAGCTGAGAATTTTATGCTCTATTTTTTTCCCCTTTTTGATGATGGTGTAAAAGAGAAATGGGCATGCTGAGTATTTAGGTAGAACACCAGTGAAGCACAGCATTGGTGAGCCCTTTTCTTTTTTACATACATATATACATACATACAATTTTTATTTTAAAAGTTTTCAATAAAATAACAATACAAATTTTGAATGAAAAAAAAGAATAGGGAAAAGTAATAAAGTGAAAAAGAAATAAAGCAAAAGAAATAGAAAAGAAGAAGAAGAAAGTAATGAAGAAGTGACTTCCTATCTTAACAGCAGTTACAAGTATATTTATATTTTATCCTTTCGGTGAGTGAGCCCTTTTCTGTAGAGTCTAGTCTATTTGTGGTTTTAGTCTGTAGGCATTTATCAGAAAAATAGATATGTGTATTGGTGTATTTTTTTTCCATAGAAAGTGACATTTTGAGAATTATTTCATATTTCATGATGAAAAACATGCATTCAGGCAACCAAAGTAGCATTATTTAATGTGATAATTGCAGTTTGATTTCAAAATAGATGTAATAGAAGTAGCCAAGTTTGTTTATTTTTCTGTCATTGTTTTTACACAAATATATATACTCTGACATTTTTATACATCACAAGGGACAGGCAGCTGAATGAAACTATCCGTTCTTCTTGCCTCTTCATCCTGGGGCTGAAGGCATGTATCTTCCAGCTTATTTTGTAAAAGGGTTGGGTTGGGAGATGAGAATACAAAGGATCACTTTTCTCAACTATACTAATCTGATTAAAGTAAAACAAGGCTGTGGTCCAGTGTTTCTCAACCTCAACAAATTTAAGCCGTGTGAACTTCAACTCCCAGAATTCCCCAGCCAGTCATGCTGGCTAGGAGATTCTGGGTATTGAAGTTCACACGGCTTAAAGTTACTGAGGTTGAGAAACACTGCTCTAGTCAGTCCTTTGTATATCCACATTGAAAAAGGTCTGTTGCATGACATCCTACGCGTTGTATCTGTTACTAATATTGTCTCCCAAACATAAGCAAAAATGATTTAGGAACAAAAAAGATAATCTCCCATGGGTCCCCATTTGTACTTAAGGGTAATGCTAATGTTAGGATGACCAAATCTGTACTGCAGGAATCTGGATGATCACTAGATGGCAGCAGAGTGTCTGTTTTACTGTCACCTACTGGTCAGCTGGATTTTGCAGATCAGATTCAATAGTGTTAGCTGATATTAAAGAATATGGTTAACTCTATGAAAGGTTTAATTGCTTTTCAAGCTCATATTTATTTTTGCAGAGGCTTTTGTGGGAGGTATGTGAAATGAAAGGACTACAGCTAACATCTTGGAACTAAATGACTAATCTTTCTTTGAAAGCTATCCTTGAAGGTTAGTTTGTTGGCAAAGGGTACTGCAGTGGAATACAGTATCAACACTAGGACTGTGAGCACTTAAAAAAAAATGACTTGGAAGAAGTGCATTGGATCTCCTGTTTTTTCTGGCTTCTGTGTGTTCCTGAGAAAATATGTGGCTGCTCTGAGAGTTGCATTAACTTTTGTGAACTGACTGCTGAAAACTATGTTTTTTCACATGGAAGCCTAAAAAAAGAGGGGCTGATGACTAGCAGACAGGTGTGGTATTTGTGTGCGGTTCATAGCATTTCCTTTATTTTAAAAGCATATACAGTTCTAATCAGCACCTTGCAAAAGTGAGTAATTATTTCACCAGTGCTTAATAAAGCTTAGGGTTTTTTGTCTAAAATAATACTTTGCCATTTAATTTCAATTCTGCTTCACCAGGTTATGTGGGTGCCTTCCATGTTCTTCCAGTACTCCACTTGGGTTAGCGTCACCAATTGAAATGAAGCATTTTATTGGTAACTTGAAAAAGTAAATGTCCTAGTGTGTTCTAACACTGTTTCCTGCAGAAAAGTCTTACTGACATTGACTGGTGTTGCCTTCCACGTATCACTGTGTGGGCCACCATCACACTACAGGTTGCTTCTTAGGAGCTAACCGTATGTTCTTCTAAAACCTGACCTGTTTTAGGAGCTAATTAGAAAGGAAGCCCAACAGGAACTGTAACAGCAGAGCTTGTTTTACCTTGAGCAAAAGGTGGATGGCTGTATTTGCTTAGTACTTAAGGCCAAAATAACCCCAAACCCCTCAAACATTAAAATAGCATTGAGAACTTAAAACAAGTACCTGAAAAGAAGCATCAGGATATAATCTCTGTTTTTATTGGCAGCATGTATGCAGTAGAGTTTAAAATCTTCATCTTAAACTTACTTGAATCTAGCTCTAGTTTCCAGCCTTCTAGTAATCCTGACAGGACAAAAGCAAGTAAATGGCTGTGTTTTTGCATAAACATTTGTCAACAAAACTGATGTAAGCCTTAAATAGGTTCCTTCTCAAAGGCCCACCATCTATGGAGATGAAAAGGATGTACTAATTCTTTCCTGGCCAGGAAAAAAAAAATCAGCAAAACCCCACTTGTGGGCTTTTCCTCTAAAGAAGCCATGATCTTTTCTCCTTATGGATAAAGAAGTATAAATAAGCATAATATTTACACAAAGGCTTTTGTCACAGCGCTAAAGAAATGTCCTGGCCAATTTCCATTCATCAGCAGTGTTGTCCTGGTTAGATCAACCACAAAATGCATGGGATCATTCATCATATTAATCATCTGCCAGTACACTGATAAGCTTTCTGTTAGCATGTGCCTGCTTCAAACGCTTGTCTGTACTGACTGAATCATTTTTTATGTTAACAATATTGCTGACTGAAAATCTGTCAGTGAGATTTGAGAAATGGACATGGCCTCAGTGAGCAGCTAAAGTAGAAGCTTTTAAAAAGCATCCTTCTTTAGGATGGTTGAACTAAGGGCATTCACAATATCCTTCCCAAGATTCTGGTCTGGGGAACAAAAAGTTTAATTCAAGGGCTGAGAAACCAGGTTCATAGCATCATAGATTGGAAGGGACCTTGGAGATCTTCTAGTCCAACCCCTTGCCCAGTGCAGGAGCCCTCAGACCTTTCTGGACAAATGGCTGACTAGTCTTTTCTTGAAAACCTCCACTGATGGAGCACCCACCACTTCAGGAGGCAGGCTGTTCCACTCCTTGACAGCTAGTTGTGTTTGGATAGGAAAAAGAATCTTGAAGCAAAGCAAACTTCATATTCAGGTTTGAATGACAAGGCAATTGGGGTTCAGCCACTAGTTCCAGCTGCCACCTTCCTTGACACTACATCCATGTGCACAACATTATTTCCGACATGCAGGGCGTTTTGGAGGGATCTATAGGTTGGCAGTTTTGTAAATACATTTACTAAGATTAGTGCTTAGAAACCCCTTGTAGTTCATATATCTTGAGTCTAATATGCCATAGAATTAAGGGGAATGTGTTTTCTCAAAAATAAGTCACCAGCATAGATAATGAGCAGTGACAAGCAACTACCGGAGAAAAAGCTTTTTGATGATGGAAATGTTGCTTAAACAAGGACAAAAGACATAAAATTGTGTAAAATTAATGCAAATGCACAGTGAAATGTGGAAAAAAGTCTTTGTGTGCATTGGAAGTTACCAAATTCCTAGAGAGGTGTATGGACTGGACGAAAAAGAATATTAAAGGAAGCTAAGTTTCCAGAGAACCTGAGTGATTTTCTAATGTTTCCTCCTTCTCTACAGAAGACTTAAGGAAGTTATCTATGATAGTTTATATTTTCAGGAAGGAACTTAGGCAAATAATGGGTACCTAAATTAAGTTCCATAACTCACTGACAATTTGAAAACCAATAAATTTGCATTCTGAGTGTGTGTCAGTAGCCTGCATGTTGGTGGGATAGAAGCAACAGTATTTTGGCTTGCAAGGTAGTCTCTCTAGATTCAATATCCTAGCTTGCATAGAATATTGTGCCCATGCTAGCTGTAAAAGAGCTTTGGCTGTACTTGTGGCATACTGGCCAAATTGTGTCCAAACTGGCTAATATCATCCTTACTGCTAGCAGAGAATGCCGCATGTG